TGACCTGGGGCTGTTCCTTAAGTATCTGACTTCATATTTTGGTGCAAATTCCCAAGTTCATTGTGTCCATGAATGACAACACAGCATCTTGTAAGAAGCAGGCCTAGGGCATGAGGGGAGCGCAGTAAGGCCATCGATACTAGTCGGAGGAGAGGAAGATGTGAGGGCATGAAGGTGACCTTCATCATTACAGCCAAAAGGGCCTGTGGTCCATTTAACCTGGCACTGGGTGCAGCATGTCAACAAAGCATGTGTTAAAACAAAAGCATTTCTTGCCACAAACACTGGGGAGGGGTGGTGGGAAGCTTGTGCCTGGTGCTCCCACTATGCCCTGTCCCCCCGCACAGTGTGCCAGGAAGTTGGGCTTCAAGAACTTCAAGTTCACCAACTTTCTTGAACTCAGTATTTACTGGAATAGAAACCATTTTGGGGGGTGATTACCCATGATGGGACCCACATGTAGCAATCTCTACTCAGTGATTAGATGATGAAACGATAAACTCACATTATAACTGAAGAGCACTATTTTAAAGAGGAGATTTGGACGTTATCGGGGCATGTCACCATGATTGCAACACTCACAGCTGCCGCATGTAAAAAGGCGGAGCCAGAAGACTTTAAAATCAGTGACCCAGTGTGAAGTGTCTGCAGATCTTGGCACAGGAACAGCCCAAAGCTTCAAAAAATAGACAAGCTTGCTTCTCCTGAGTGGCCAGTCTTGGCAGCATGAAGAGAGAGGCAGTGATGCCCTCTGATGAAGAAGCAGCTCTGCTGTTACTCAGGACCTCATGGGACATAATTTGAAGAAAAGAATAGGGTGCCTATGAGTAGATCACTGAGTAGAAGCAAACTTCCAAACTCATTCTGTATGAACGCATTTGACTTAGTGGAATAATTTCCCTCCCCAGTAAGCACCTTGGTCTGCCCCTGGACACAGACTAGGGGACTGGCTCCCAAGAGAATGGTTAGGAAGGCACAACTGAAAACACTGCCAATGTATGCGGGTTGCGAGATGAAAAGGAACGTAGGTGGCAGAGGTGACGTCTTTGTGAAGAAGAGAGCAAGTGAGAGCTTCCTGATTCAGTCCCGAGGAATGTGTTCAGTAGGAGTGCACAGAAGCACAGGTGGCTGCGTACTTTGAGCAAAAAGTTGGCACCAACTGCATAAGCCTTGTTCACAGTGTGATGCTAGCATTTCTTCTTCCCACATCTTCCCATCGTGCTGAGGTCCCTAGGCCTTTCCTTCCTTTTGAGGCGGTGTTCTGAGGAACTTGGTGGTGGCGCCAGCAGGGAGCAAACATCTCCACCTACACCTCACATAGGGCCAGGTATTCAAGGAGCAGTGTACAAAAAACATGTCCTGAAGTACCATGTGGTCACCAGCAGCAAAGGGAGAAAGGAAAGTGTGTAGAAGAGACAGAGCTGATGAGAGGGACCAAGGCTGATGGAAGGAGACAGTCCTGGTGGGGAAACCCTATGTGGTAGATGGAGCTAGTGATGGGAGATAGGAGAGGGGCCAAGGGTGTGATGGAGATAGGAGGACGGGCCAAGGCTGTGATGGAGATAGGAGAAGGGCCAAGGCTGTGATGGAGATAGGAGAGGGGCCAAGGCTGTGATAGGAGATAGGAGGAGTTGCCCAGACTGTTGGAAAATCATCTGTCAAATGTCTAGGTAAGACCTGTCTTAAAAAAAAAAAAAAAAGGCCGGGCGGTGGTGGCGCACACCTTTAATCCCAGCACTTGGGAGGCAGAGGCAGGCGGATCTCTGTGAGTTCGAGACCAGCCTGGTCTACAGAGCTAGTTCCAGGACAGGCTCCAAAACCACAGAGAAACCCTGTCTCGAAAAACCAAAAAAAAAAAAAAAAAAAAAAAAAAAAAAAAAAAAAAAAAAAAAAGAAGAAATTGGAGCTGGAGAAATGGCTCAGTGGTTAAGAGCACTGCCTGTTCTTCCAAAGGTCCTGAGTTCAATTCCCAGCAACCACATGGTGGCTCACAACCATCCGTAAGGAGATCTGGTGCCCTCTTCTGGCCTGCAGGCACACATGCAGACAGAATACTGACAATACTGTATACATAATAAATAAATAAATAAATCTTTAAAAAAAAGAAGAAGAAGAAATTGCTGGGAAGACAGTACATAGGGCAGGAGAGACCTAACAAGTATTCTCTTTTCTTTATTGTTATTAAAGCAATAGAGAAACGACCGAGAATAAGGTCTGGAAGCTGGGGAAATTGGTGCCAGTTAGTTCATAACTCAGTGAATGCAGAAATACAAATGTTGTTCTAACTTCTGAGGTGACAAAAGTTGAATATAACCGCTACTTCTGTGACCCTGAACTAGATCATCTTGGGAAGAAGAGAACCGGTCCCTTCACCTGAGAAATGACCTAATTGCACTGCCCCTGCTGGTAAGAAAGCCCCATAATTCCCTCCTGAGGGGGTATCGTCAGCATCATACCACAGCCACAGTCACTAATGCATCCAGAAAGCCCACACCAGAGACCCCTCATGATGGACTTACAGTCATTTCTTCCTGAAATGGTATTCCCCTCAAAAGTCACCCACTCCCTCTCAGCTCAGCGTTGCCTGGAGCCCCTTGGCCAGGCAGGCTGGAGCAGCCAATCACTCACCCTCCAGCTCCGTACCCCCCTGGACCCCAGAAGAGCCACTCAGAAGTCAAGCTGCAATGAGTTTCAGCACTGCCAAGGATCTTCCTGTTTCTATGACAATGTTTTGGGAAGATAGCAACCGGATGGACAGAGGTAGATGTGGGAAGGCCCTCTTCACAGAAGGAGGTATGGCAAGCTGTGTGTCAAAGTTTGGGCTATAGAAAGGAGATTCTGAGATAGAGCCTAAGTCATCGCTAGTCCCTGGCTTTAGAGGCGTGCACTTGTCACTCGATTGGCAGTGCTCTCTGAAGTTAGGAGGGTCCTGTGTCTAGATAGGGGAAACAGTCGTTTCCTCATGACCAAATGTGGCCCGGTTCACACTCCCAACTACAATCTTTGGTGCTCACCTGCCAGCTCCGGGATGACCACGTCCCTTCCCTCTGTTTGCCACTCGCTCCCTCCTCCTAGAGCTGCAGCCCTGAAGCCAGCTCACTCGTCCTAAGAGCTGCAGGCTTAAGTGCAGCTTGTGGGTGCTGTTGCTGCAGCGAGGACTCAGGCTGGTCTCTGCTGACCTCTCTCCCAGGTCATCTCCCCCGACCTCCCCGTCCCCCTCAATGTTAGAAACTTCCTGTTCCCATGACCACGTGTGTGCCAATCATTCGTACCTGCTTTCCCTGTTCCTGTCCTGCCTCCAGATCATGAGCTCCTCGAGGGCAGCCTATGCCTGAGGCATCTGGGAACATTCTCTCTAGTGAATGATGCCTTACTCTTCTTTTCCTGTGGTGGACCCAGATACACACACACACACACGCACACAAATGAGCATACATTTTTAGTATTTGCTGTCTCTGCCATATTCCAAGTACTTTGCTGAGCATTTTCATGAAGTTCTTGTTTATTCTTTATAATAAATTTATATATGTCCTATTGTTGCCCTCTCCCAAATTAAAACTATGAAACTTGAGCTGTAGCAAAATCAAGTATTTGGCTTCAAGTCAAAAAAAAAAAAGCCAGTAAGTGTCCAAGTTGTGTCCGGCCAGATTCAACCATCTGCCTCAGAAATTGTTTTAATGTTTAGAAAAATAACTCAAATGGTTTTAAGCAAATCGTAGGCTTTGGATCATGTAAGGCCACGTGACTTTGGGTGGAATCCTTGATTGCTCCTATCTAAAAAATGGAGTTAGTACTTGAGCTCAAAGGCTTTCTCATGAACAAAATAACCTACATTCCAGAAGGTATTTCACAGTCCTCCTCACCAGGCCTGGGACCGAGGGTGAAGCCGGCAGACACCACTTCCCAAGGGTCAAGAGCTAAGGGCCCACAGTGTTAAGACCAACTTTGAAGCCCAAACAACCTTGACCAGGGCAGCTCCCTAGGTGTCTCCCCAACCTGTCCCAGCCCAGCTCTCAGAAAATCATTGTCACTCTTGTCCAGAATCAGCCTTGCTTTATGCAGCTGTTGTGATTCCCATAGAAAATACTCTGCAGACTCGTGCATCTGAACAGTTAGGGGCACTGCTCGGGAACCTTGTAGAAATCTTGCAGAACCTTCGAGAGAGGAGGCCCAGCGGGAGGAAGAGGATCTTTGGGGACCTTGTGATTTGTGGCTTGGCCCTGTTTTCTGTCCTAACCGTGCTTGTTTGCTGTGCTTCTATGTGGGTAAGCAGTCACCATATACTCCTGCCATCTCTGAGCTACCCACCGCATCTCCCCATTATGACAGATCAGACTTCTTCAGTCTATAAACCCAGACATGCTCTTCTCCGTTAAGTCACTTCTTGTTAGGAATTTGGTCACAATGAGAGATGCGACCAGTGCAGGGACAAAGGGTAGAAGTGTTCTTTGCAGATGAACAACTATTTCGATCCTTCATACCCCGCTCTCACACGCAGCTCCGTGTTGTCTCTTCCATCTGTGTCTTGCTCTTAGACCATATCCATGTAGTTTCCATACAACTTGTCATATCCAAAATATAATTTCAACATGAAACTGGTATAAAAATTGTGAACAAAGTGTTTTACATTGATGTAAAGTTTGGTATATCTTGCACATATTCAAGATCTCTGAACTCAGATGGGCCATATTTCAGGTGCTTAGCAGCCATTTGAGGAGTGGCTCCCACACCCAACCCTGAACCACACAATTATAGTCCTACATGTCTTCCCAGGGGGCTCCCATGGGTATCTCCATGGATGGAGAATGTGATGAATTCTGATATAACTGGTTTTCTAGATGCCACATAGTGAGATGCTTGTTTATGAAAGAAACGTAGACATACTAAACCTCAGTTATCTCAACAACCAGAAAGAAAATGTGTTAGACCTTCATAGGTCTAAGAATTTGATAATTGAAGCCTCAGCTGTATATTCAAGAAGTTCAAATCATTATTGCCATGCTTGTTTTGGCAGTCTGTGTACTAAACTGGACCATTACAGAGAGGATTAGCATGGACCCTGTGCAAGGAAGGCTTGACCCTTCTGGAAGAGTTCCATGTTTTGGCACCTGATGGGAAAGGGGAAGTTGGTTTCCTCCAATGGAGTGTCACTGAGTACATCAGCCACACTCCGGGGCAGGCCCTGTGCCCAGGACAAATTGATTAACATAAAACAGATTTTACGTTTTGTTGTTGTTTGATTGGTTGTGAGGTTGTTTTTTTTGTGTGTGTGTGAGACTTTCGTTTTGTTGTATTTTTTTTCTTTTCTTTTATTTGAGAGAAAAAACAAAGTTCGAAGGGTAGGGAAGTGGGGAGAAGCTGGCAGGGGGAGATGGGGAGGAGAAAGACTATAATAAAATATATTGTAAGAAAATTTTTAAATAAAATCTTGTCTAATTAAAATTATTATTGCCATTAGTGGTGATAGAACATGCTGAACACCTCTATTTTGAGAATGTTAACTCCAAATGTTTCAAAATCCAAAACCTTTTGCGTGCCAACACACCAGTTCAGGTAGGAGATTCGGCATCTACCTCCTGTCACCAAACACAAGCATGTTAAAATCCTGTACAAGATGACCTCCAGTTTGTGTGGGAAGGTGCTCAGGAAACAGAAAATGAGTTTGGGTCTGGACTCGCCATCCACCTTTGAGACAGCTTTTCATGTATGTGCAAATGTTCCAAAATTTGAAATCCAGAACCCCTCTGGACCTAAGCACTTTTAGCAGAAAACCTCTGACCACTAACACAGGTACCCACGATGGAAGGCCTCTGACCACTAATACAGGTACCCACGATGGATCCCAGACAGTGAAGCTCATTTATGGGTGGTTACCTGGGCACACGGCCGAGGAGCTGTGGGAAAATATTCTAGATGACTCAGCCCCAGGTTTCATGAATTAATGAGACCTAAGACCTAGAGAGTGGGATGGAGCAGATGAACCACGCCACACCCACTGCTCACACACCCCTCTACAAGACAACACGCAAACCTCAACAGCCACTTGCTATAATTTAAAGCAGGATGCCTTCCTTAGGTAGATATTCTAGTATATAACATGTGTTATAAAATATATGCAAAAGCTGGGCCGTGGTGGCGCACGCCTTTAATCCCAGCACTCGGGAGGCAGAGGCAGGAGGATCTCTGTGAGTTCGAGACCAGCCTGGTCTACAGAGCTAGTTCCAGGACAGGCTCCAAAGCCACAGAGAAACCCTGTCTCGAAAAACAAAAACAAAAACAAACAAAAAAATATATGCAAAGCAGGCACCTCTGTCATACATCATACATTATACACACAAAGCACACATATGCCGGTACGGCCTAGAGAGTGGCGTTCAGTGTGCTGAAAACAAGAGTCGCAAGAAGGAATAATAGCTCCAAACTAGCGTGGGACAGTTCATAATGACCATCAGGAAGTCCTTGTTAAGAATGCCATCTATTATTAGACTGACACAGCTTCCGCGGGGGGGGGGGGGGGCACAGGAAGAGCGCGTAACCTGAGACACTTCAGGCAGGACGGGCACTGCTGAGAGCAGGAGAGAAAACAAAGCGCTTGCTTGCCAGGAGACGCCAGAGACAGCTCAGGCTCCTGCTTGAATCAGGGCAGAGAACAGACTTTGGGGCACAACTGAGAGTCCTTTGTGCAGCGGGGCTCTGGAGACAATGAGAGGCAATGGAGGATGTCGGGTCTAAACCACACAGCGGGACAAGAACACAAATGCAGTTAGTAGGTTGCACATCAAGCAAAAGCGGTGACCTCGGTGTCGGGATTTCTCGACATGTGACGAGGTGACATCAATCAGAAGACGGCATGGGAAGATCCCCATGGGTGTCTCCTAAAAGCGTTGGCAGTTGGTGGACCACTGTGTTGCAAGGGGTATCAATGGATAGTGAACCCAGGAAGCTCAGCCGTAGCTGGACAGCCTCTGTGAAGGATGCTAAAATGACTGTGTTGTCAAGAAGCTACCTGCAGCGTTCACTGATGGAGTGCTTGTATACATACTGAGTTGTGCAAAATTCAGTATCCCAGATGGTCTGTGTACGAGCTGAGTGTCCCTTACCAGGAGGTGAAAGGTACTGCAGATTTGTGGTTTGATCAGATTTTGGAATATCTTTAAAGATAGGTTGAACATCTCTAATATAAAAATTCAAAATGTAAGATATTTTGAAATCTGGAAATCCCAAATTTTCCAAAGTTAAAATCAGAAATTACAACATTTAGGATTTAGGATTCTTTGGATTAAGGAGCATGCAACCTGCAGAAGATGATAATGGACATAATAAATCCGGGTGGAAGTTAACTCTTTAAGTTATGGAGTTACAAGTCTTCAGTGGTACAGCCTTGACAATCGCCTGGCTCATAGAGGAAATGAATTGTTTGATGGCGAATGAGTGCATGAAATTAGCCAGCAGCATACAGCAAGCGAGCTAACTGAACAAGTGCATCTGAAGAGGGAGTTCTCCTATGCAACTGCTGTGCCCCTGCCTGCATGCCCCATGGGAAGAGGTTCCAGCCTGTCCCTGAGGTACACCCGTCAAACCCTACCTACAATTCCTGTGAAATGGATGCCACAATGGAGAGGGGTCTGAGAATCAGTTTGCTAGGAAATAAGGGAAGGTTCAGGAAGAGGAGAATTGGGTTAGATTATCAGTTCTGTCAAAACACCTCAGGATTGTTAGGGGAGGCCTAGCTGTCTTTGCCCAAAGTGAAGTGAGAAGTTACAGGTAGGAGAAATAGAAAGAGATATCAGCATCTAGTAGCTTGGTCTGCTGATAAGCAACATGTCGGTGCAAACTCCAGCAGAATCTGAACAGCTACCTCCCGTGGGCACCTAAGGTGGTTCCGGTGTGGGTGGCCAGTCAGATTTTTTTTGGGGGGGGGAACTACTTTTTTGAAAGTGTTAATTCAGCTGGATAATTTTGCTCTTTTTTTAATTTATTTATTAAAGATTTCTGCCTCCTCCCCACCACCGCCTCCCATTTCCCTCCCCCTCCCCCGATCAAGTCCCCCTCCCTCATGAGCAATCAGGGTTCCCTGACCTGTGGGAAGTCAGATTGATTGATGTGTCTTGCCCAGGATTGAGACCAGGCAGTTGCACGGCCAGCCCTATCAGTACCAGCAGAGGGCGCGCTCCAGGCGGGCGCGGACAGGTGTCTAGTAGCTGGGGTTCGCCTAAATTGGAGGGGATTGCGCCCTGGAAGCAGCCGACAGGGGTCTTGGTTGCCAGATAATGAGGGAAGATGCAAAATGTTTACCTCAGCTGGGGAGTACGGGTTCTGCACCTGCACAAGCGCAAATCCTTGGAACCAGGGTAGGTGAGCTGGGCAGGCGGCGGGAATACTGAAGAGGGGCCTCCGAGCCCACAGAGGAACACTAACTAGGGCACAGTCTTGGTACTTCTCAGGGTCTCATTTCTTTGGAATTTCCCCTGAGCATTCCTCCCAAGGCCTTCATCCCCTACCCATGCAGGCGCCCTGCCCTCCTGTGTGTGGGGCTTCTCATTTCCTCTCCTCCCAGCTGATGAGAGACAATCAACCAAGGAGTCGGGGCTGGAAGGGCTTTGCTCCCTCTTCAGAAGGTATTAACTCAGAAGGTACCCACAGAGCAAAATCGAAATCTTCAGGATTCCCTGGGTGTGAACCGAAGAGAGTTACAGCTGGATGCCCTGCCGATCTCAGGCTCTCCTATAGGTTTAACAAGTTCAGCAATCCCAGGTGACCCCACAGAGGAAAGGGAAGATGCCCTCCCGAATGTCTTCCTAATGCCATCCGGGTCAACCTTCCAAAGCCAATCAGCTTTCTCAGTCACAGAGGCCGCTACACATGTCCGGATGTGGTTCATTCTAGACAGCTGACAGTTTCTGCTGTGTCCTTGGACATCTCCACCCTTCTGTCCCTGCCTGGCCATCCTGCCAGTGCTTGTCTGTGAGCCAACAGCCTGCTCAGTACCAAGCAGACCTAGGCCAGGGACTTCCCTGATGCCAGGGAGCTCTTGGTGATCTCTCTCTCTCTCTCTCTCTCTCTCTCTCTCTCTCTCTCTCCCTCCCTCCCTCCCTCCCTCCCTCCTTCCCTTCTTCCCTCTACCCCTCCCCCCATGAAACTACAATGATCACTCTTCTACAGGCAGATCCTTGAGCCATGTGATTTCAGCGGATAAACTGTCTGTTTATGATTAAAAGCGGTCACAGTTCATAAGACTTTTCTCGTTATAAACTTGCTTTATTTTGCTTTCTGTAAGAAGCCAGAAATGCCCAAAAGAGCAACACAAACCCTTTTGTACCTGGCAGGAGCAGTGCGATTGTTTATGTCCAGCTGTTCCCTTTCCTACTGGCACAGCTGGGTAAACCAGAGCGCAGGCCAGAAAGGGGACATGGCAGTCCACAGAGCTCGGGTGGCCTGTACACCCGGTTGCCTGCAGCCCAGGGAAGACAGAAACCCAAATCCTCCAAGCAGTTTCCAGGAGGAGAAGGAATCCTTGCTTGTAGCATGTGCTTCTTACAGAAACACTAACAAACAAAAGGCAAGCAGTGGCCGGGCTGCAACACTATACTTTTAAACAAATTAGTAAGTAAACAGTTGAGCGATCTCTGCCAACCATTCACTGGGAATTAGGAAGGCCTACTGGTCCCAGATTGTGGTGTTAAAAAAATTCAGGGTTTTTTTTTTTTTTTTGGTTTTTCGAGATAGGGTTTCTCTGTGGCTTTGGAGCCTGTCCTGGAACTAGTTCTATAGACCAGGCTGGTCTCGAACTCACAGAGATCCGCCTACCTCTGCCTCCCGAGTGCTGGGATTAAAGGCGTGCGCCACCATCGCGGAAAAAAAAATTCAGGGTATTTGCGTTATGAAAATTTAACCAAGCTATCCACATATATACAGGTTGTAACTGGGTTCCCTTCATGGATTGAGATACCATTTGCTCTATTTCCAGCTTCTAGATAAAAGTTACAGCACGTACAGGCATCCTATTATCACTGAGATGAGAGCATTCAGGGATCAGACAGGCTGTGGGGGGTTAGAGCGAAAGACTGTTTAGACATACGAAAGATGCCCTCTTGGTGACAGGGT